TCACCCCGCCCGCCTGCTCGTGGAACTGCTCGGAAGCTCTACCGCATCGTCGCCGGGCTGCTTCCGCTTCTTCGGCGGATCGACCACGGGATAATGTCGGTAGAGCTTCCGAGTGTCCGGGTCCATCCACATCAAAAACTTGTGGAGGCCCCTCCGCTCGGCCAGCGTCATCTGATACACTCCCTGCTCCATCTCTACCTGCAGGGCCATCGCGTCCCAGAATCCCTCGGGAGGCTCGGTTTCCAATGCGGGCTTGGACCAAGTCTCCCGGTTGAGCCAGTGACGCGAAGGCTCTGCACGTAGAGGGCCCACACCCTGCAGCTTCAGCTGCGAAAAACTCCGGCCCTCGCGAGTGAACTCGCTCAGGCACCAATCCGCGTCAACCTCCGTCCGGTCCAGATACCGGGCTGCCTCCACCGGCCCTCCGCGCACCCCGCACTTGTTGCAGACCTTAGAGTTGGAGAAGGGGAGGCGGAAAAAAAGAAAGTCTTATACCTTCCTATCGGGCAACTTACATCCTCCAAACCGGAAAACACACCTCCCCAGCCGAACAAGAACCAAAAAGGAACACCCCGAAAACTAGTCAGAAAGACTTTCTAAAACATGCCCTTCCCGGGCACGAACTGGCTCCACTCGTCCGACCAGGCCGAACCGGTGAAAGCGTGCATCGTGCCTCGCAACACGGAAGCCGAAATCCTAAACTAAAGAACGCCTCTTAAAAGGTTTATTTCATACAAAGAAGACAAACCACAATCCCGCCACGCCCCGCGTCCTGAGCAGCGGGGTGCGCTCGGGTCATCCTCGTGCAGGAGGCTGGGGTCTGCCGGCATACTGCACGGAAGCCCTTGCTCGATCGTCCTCGGTGCCCGAAAACCCCTTTCCTATCCCCCCTTCTCTAACCGAAAGAAAAGAAGCCCCAGTTGCCACAAGCCCACAAGACCTAATCCAGATGTTCTTCCACCGACCAAAAGAGGAGAAAATAAAACAAAACTTAAAACAAAAACCCGCAACGTTTCCCTATCAGCCCGGCGTCGCGGTACGGAAGGCCATAGCGTTCCAAAGGCGGAGGATGCGGATTGGCTGGGAGTTCGGGCTGTGGGAAGCCGAGAGTGCGCTGCGGAACGATAAATTTTATCCCCGAAGAATCCCAAGAGCAGAATGCCAGCAACAAGTATTATTCCTAGCAACACACGAAGGGAACGAACGAAACCAGAGACAAGGCGCTCCTCCGAACCGAAACATGAATTGGTCAACACAAGCAGACACACGTCGACCTGGATTCTACACCAGCAAAAACCCCAAGAGCAGAATGCCAGCAACAAGTATTCCTAAAAACAAACCAAGGGAAACAACGAAAATAGAGACAAGACAGTCTGATGTTATGACTTCAAAACGTACATTACTCCGTGACCTTCTGTTCTAATTTCGCTTCTACACTGTCTCTAAGACCCCTCACCCGAAAGGATCATGTTTGTCTTTCCAGGTGAAGGGACTACCCGCCCCAAAGAGAAAACAAGCAAGTAGATGACCAATAGTTGCTCTGCAATACACCGTCCTAATTGTGTTTTTAAATGTTTAAAATTGGGTCTTTTCAAGGCCGCCGCCCCTGTAATTATAGTCAGGGATACAATAAAAAATGCGCAGCAACGTGCTTGACTTGGTTTTGGAATGCCAAACGACCAAAAAAAATTTAACGAAATTCATACCATAATGCTTTAAATTAAACCTCCTCTTTGGGGTCTCTTCCCCGCCCTCGCCCCGCCCACCCCCCCCCTCCGCCCCGCAGCGACGGCGGGGCAAGACAGAAGGCGGCCTTGCGCCTTCGCGCGGCAGATGTTCCTGTCGCCTTGCGCGCCTTGCCGCCGGCACCGCTCCTGGCGCTTGGCGGAGGGGCTCCTCCTGCTCCGGCTGGCCGGCTACTCCTCTGACGGTCTTGGCCGTCTTCCTGGAGATCTCAACGAGATGGGCGGCCGGCGGACGTTCGCGTGACCGACCGACAAACACGACGACCAAGTCGAGGTAGCTAGGGCCGGGCTGGGTGGGATAAGCTCTTCCACAAACACCCCCTCTTAAATCAGCATGTTTAGGGCTTAGGGTTTAGGGTTCAGGGCTTAGGGCTTGGGGTTTAGGGTTTAGGGCTTAGGGTGCAGGGCTTAGGGTTCAGGGTTCAGGGTTCAGGGTTTAGGGTCTAGGGTTCTTACCAAGTTTTGATGAAGGCTCCGTGCAGAAGGCTTTCAGGGGATGAGGAACCTGTGTGGAAGACCACCGGCCCGTTATGGCAGAAATCGGCCCCCAACCCGAGCCCAACCAGTCGGCGACATGAGCATCAGCTGCAGCATTCGGAGCATCGGCCACTGGCCGATGCAAAACCAGCAGCTCCCTATCATTGCCGCTACACCCACACGTGCCCACATGCGGAAAGCATTCCATTCCTGTTCTTAGTCTCTCAAACCGAATGGGGCCCTAACAGCCTAAAATCCAGACCTGCATCACAGGGGAGAGGTCGCGCTGCACGGGCGAGAAGAGCCTGGGCAAGATGCAGCAAAACATTGGAAGTCCCCCAAGATCTCAGACTTGGACCCAAGACTCCGAATCACTGCAGCTACTTCGAGGGTGGAGAAGCCCCCCCAAAAAAAACCTCTCCACCACAAAATCTCAACAGACTGCTGTCCCGAGGACCCTACACACCGAAGCCCAGCAAAACCAGCAAAACCTCACTCCTACGCCCTCCTCCCCCGCTCTCAACGCGCGAGAACCCCCTGCTGCGAAAACTGGGGCCGAGATCCAAACCCGGCGCCGGGCTTCGGCTTCTGGAGGGGGTGTCGGCTACTCAAGTTGAGGGTTTGGGGTTTTGGGCTTAGGGTTTAGCGAGTGCAGACTTTTATGGGATTTACAGGCTACAAGGAGGGTTGTTGAGGGGTTCGGGGTTTTCGGCATTCATCCCAACCTTCACAGAAGAGAGAAGAGTGTGCACAGAGCCCCCAGCAGAAAGAGAACGAAGATCGTGGTCAGGCTGACCTGGCTCCGTCTCCACATAAGGGTTTAGGGTTCAGGGTTTAGGGTTTAGGGTTCCGGGTTTAGGGTTTAGGGTTTAGAAAACACCCACAAGTGGTCCGCTCCAAAACCCCAAAGTGCGCACCCCGAATTCCTTATAACCTGAATGCAACAATGCAGTGGCAAAGTGTTAGGGCTTCGAAAGCTGTGTCAAAGGTCACAATCAAGGCAGAATAATTTAACGGGGTTTGACAACCCATTTGCGAGGGGATAGCGTATCAAGGCAGCCGGCGCCTGCGTAACGGTGTAGAACACCTTGCCGGCTGCCCACCAACACCCCGCGGAGGCTCCAGGGTTTTACAGGCGGAGGGCTCTCCGGGGTTTGTTGCGCTTCTGCCTTCCGGGTGTTAAGAGCTCCCAGGAAAGCTTCAAGCCAACCCCGAAACGCCAAACTTGAAATGAAAAAGCTTTGCATCGAACCTGAAACCTTGAACCCTGAACTCCCTGAACCCTGAAGCATGAACCTCTGCCCTGCCCCGGGACTCTGGCTTTCTGCTGCGGGGCTTGGGTCTTTGGGGGAAAAGGGGGGTTTAGGGTTTAGGGTTTAGGGTTTAGGGTTTAGGGTTTAGGGTTTAGGGTTTAGGGTTGGGGGTTTGGGGTTTAGGGTTTGGGGTTTAGGGTGTGATCTTCCAGGCCGCTGAGCCTCCTTGTGCTTCTGTGCGGCTAAGCTTCACGCCCAAGTTCATCCAGGAAAGCTTCCGAAGCACCAAAGCCTCCGCCTCTACGCAAATTCCGACACGTCCGAACTCCTCTGAACCTGCACTTCTCAATCCCCAAACCCCTGCTCTAAACGCTGCACCGGCAAGCTCCGAAACCGCGACGACTCCGCCAACAAAGGTAAAAACAGCCCTGGCCGAACAGCCCAGGAACACCCAGCACATTCAGAATTCTTGAGGTCGAGACATGCTGGCCTTGGCTAGTCAGTTTCAAGGCGGTTGCAGGGGCTCTTGCAGGGGCTTCAGAAGGCCTTGAGGGGTCCAAGATGTCTGAGCTTCTGAAGGTTTCAGGCTGGTCTGCTTCTTTTGTAGCCTTGCGAAGGGTCTATAGCATGTTGGACCCCTAAACCCTAAACCCCTTGACCCTGTGACCATACAAGCCCCCAAAAGCGGGAGATTCGGCCACCTGCGGGCAAGATGCTCAAGAACTCCGCCACGTACTTGATCCCCGAGAGGCAGTAGTTGCCCAGGTGCCTTGGTTAGGGTCTAGGGTCTGGGTTTCGGGTTTAGGGCTTCTGAGATACCATACTTACTTGGAGGTTCATGGGTAGTGAAAAGTAAGGTTAAGTATGGTAGCTATACTTCTCACCCCACTTAGGGTACTTATAACCCTATTTATAAGTACCCATGAACCTCCAAGTACAGTTTCGGGATGGGGAGTCGGGTTTGCATTGAGGGCCATGTCTTGTTGGGGTGGGCAAGCAGAGCAGTCCACTTCCCAAGCGCGCCTGAACCCTAAAGGCCCTAAACCTCCCGCATCATTCTGAGCCTGAAGCCCTGGACACACAACAACGCCTTCGGCCCTACCCTGGGGTCGGCACTCGGTGTCTAGTTGGATATTCTTCTCCAGGTGGAACCTTCCGGCGCGGACCAGAACTTCACCAGGCTGTATGAGACTGTGGCTTAATGCACGCCCAGCTCGCGATAGCAGACCCTAAACCCTAAACACCCTCACTCCCTTACACATGTGCCACACCCTGGCCTCACCAGCAGCGCCTGCACCTGCGAAAGAGAAAGTGGGGGGGGGGGGGGGGGCACCTTCAGCCCCAAGCATGAACAGCATTGAAAACCTTTCATACTTTATACCCAAGAGCCCCAACAAAAGCCTAAGGATTTCAGGCATTTAGGGGCAGGGTTGCGGTTTTCGGCTTTTGTAGGATCTGTCGGATTTAGGCCAAAAACCCTGGGCCCCCCGAAAAAAAAACCCTTTAAAAGACCGCTCCAGACCTGGGCACTCCGCTTCCTCACGCCCTCCTGGTAGAAACCCAGGTCCTCTGACACGGCCTGGCGCCACCAAAAGGGTTTAGGGCTTAGGGCTTAGGGGTTTAGGGTTTAGGGTTAGGGGTTTAGGGTTTAGGGCTTAGGGAACCTAAGTCCCAAGCCCGGAACCTACACGGCAAACCCATCCCCAGGCTCGGGGGCGAGTTCCGGCTCGGTTGTTTTGGCGGGTCAAGGACTCGGAGCGGCCGAAGAAGAGCCAAGAAAAACGCCCAACGACATCAAACCCCACAACATTTTGGAAAAACAGTCAAACCCTAAACTCCAACTCCTAAACCCTAAACCCTAAACCCCCGAAAGGCGCCCCCGAAGTTCCCAGAACTTTGAGAGGGTCGCTGGGTGCCCAGAGCTGCCTGGCAATCTTCTCTACCGTTTAGGGGTTTAGGGTTTTAGGGTTTAGGGTTTAGGGTTTAGGGTTTAGGATTAGGGTTGAGGGTTAAGGGTTTGGGGTTTGGGGTTCAGGGTTTTGGGGTAAGTCCCCGTAATATACCCCTTAGAACCTGAAACCCTATAAACCTTCTCAACCCTACATACACCCTATGAACCACCACAAAAAGCCTGAAACACTCGAAACGCGCGCAACCAAAACAAAAAGGTTTAGCGTTGCCATCAGGGTTCAGGGTTTAGGTTTCAGGGTTTAAGGTTTAGGGTTTAGGGTTTAGGGTTTAGGGTTTCGGGTTTAGAGCTTAGGGTTTAGGGCTTTTGAGAAAAAAACTCTCACAACAGCGCCGGTTGGACGGAGCCACTCAGCCAGACGATGCGGCCGATGAGCCAGAAGAGTCGACCGGCCAGGAGGATGGTCAGAATCTTGGGATTGTGGGGTTTTGGGGTTTGGGGTCTAGGGAAAGGGGTTTAGGGTTTAGGGTTTAGGGTTTAAGGTTTAGGGCTTAAGGTTTAGGGCTTAGGGCTTAGGGCTTAGGGTTTAGGGGTATTTTGGGCTCTAGGGTTTCAGGAGCTCCCCAAAGTGGATAGATTAAATGAGTTACGCGGGGATTTGCTTCTACTTCCCCCTAATTGAGGGATTCTATCACCTGGATGGAAAGGGTTCAACCTCAAAGAATCGTTCATGGAACTAGACCCTAAGCCCTAAACCCTCCCCCTATAATCAAAAAAACAACAGGGAAACTCGGTCAGAGACCAAGTTGGCACCCCCGGTAAATGTTTTTTGGAAGCCGCACGTCCACTGCTTCACTCTCCTTGGGAAGGTTTCCGAAGTTGAGGGCATCCGGGGGGGATTTCCCGAACTATGGGTCCCCTTCATACACCCACCCCCCAGAATACTACAGGTCCTTGTTCTAAGATTCCCAAAAAGGGCGCCCGTATTTGGGAACGAAACGAAAGACCGTTGGGCGCGCAATCCTGGGCTTCAGGCGATGGAGCAAAGCAGGCAGAGGCGCTTCATCTGAGCAAGGCGGGGTTTAGGATTCATGGTGGACTCCCGCCCAAAACATGGCGTCTGAGTATGTCAGCAAGGCACTTGGGGCTTAGAGTTCAGGGCTTCGGGCTTTGTCAGGTTTAAGTTGAAAACCCACCTTGGTCCATCGGGGTCTGGGTTTGCGGAGGTCCCTCAAGCGCAGGGTGGACTTTGGGAGCAGGACTCCATCACCATCTCGGGCCGCGGCCACCTCGTTGAGCTCTACCCTGCCTTGGCCTTGGCAGGAACCCCCAAAACCTCTAAACCCCTAAACCCTAAACCCTAAACCCTAGACCCTAAACCCTAAACCCTAAACCCTACACCCTACATGTTGGAAACTGCCTCTTCTGAGCCCCAGTTGCGGGCCACGCTCTCGGCGTAGTCGCCATAGGCCACGCCCTGGTCAGGCTCGTCCCATGGACTCAAGGTTTAGGGTTTAGGGTTTAGGGTTTAGGGTTTAGGGTTTAGGGTTTAGGGTTTAGGGTTTAGGGTTTAGGGTTTAGGGTTTAGGGTTTAGGGTTTTAGGGTTTTAGGGTTTCGGGTTTAAGGGTTTAGGGTTTTAGGGTTGAGGGTTGAGGGTTGAGGGTTTAGGGTTTAGGGTTTAGGGTTCAGGGTCTAGGGTTTAGGTTTAGGGTTTAGGGTTTTTCGGGTTTCGGGTTTAGGGTTTAGGGTTTAGGGCTTTAGGGCTTTAGGGTTTAGGGTTGAGGGTTGAGGGTTTGGGGCTTGGGGTTGGATTTGGGGGGTGCAGGGGAGAGGTAGTAGGGGACTTAGGGTTCAGGCTTCAGGGTCCAGGGTCTAGGTTTAGGGCTTAGCGTCAACCCGGAACCCCAAACACTGAGTCCTAACTTGAAACCCCGAAGATCGGGGATCGGCTAGATTTAGGGTGCCGGTTTTTCTGGGATGTGGTTGTGCCATTGTAACGTCTTGGACAGCACTGGTGGCCATACAAATGAAGGTAACGATTGGCTTCAGCATTCTAAGTAACTTGACTGCGATGTCTGGGGACTCCAAGACTATAATGGAAACAGACTTTGGCCCCAAAGAACCATACCAGAGACTTTGGGGGCTTGGCCGCCACGCTTACGTGTACCATCTCGAAATGGCTTCTGAGCTAGCCAATTTCGTGGTGACCAGCACCGCCACGATCAGCGCACACCTATCGCCTACTCTGGTGTCCTGGCAATGCCGTACCTCGGAACAAGACAGGCAGACTTTGAGCTCTCTAAAAAAGTGCGTCTAAATGTCGGCGAAATCGAGTCACGGATCAGCAACGTTTCCCGCGCTGATCCACACGCTGTTCAAGTCGAAGGTTCTAAGGTAGGAAGCTACACGGCTGTCTGTTCAGGCACTGCGCGATGGAGGTACGGTAATCTCAGGCGTGCGATGCGCATGCTTGACAGGCTTGCACTTTGCCAGGTGCTCAAGAAGCTTCCACCAGGCCCTGGCATCCAAGCGGTGCCCATTGTGCATGCTCCTGCTTTCGTTGTTGAGGTAGGCAGAGTTTCGGATGTCGGGATGAAGTCTGGGGCAAGAATCCATGTCCTCATCCAATTCAGCGAACCACGTCACAGGGAAGTTGCCCGGGTTCAGCAAGGCTCCCCAGTTCCGAACTGAGCGCAAGTCATCCTCATTCCAGGCCCAGAATGCTGGGCCTCCGTACTTCTCGAGATCTGCAACCCCGGACATACGGAGTATGCCCGCAAAGGTCCTCTTGAAGCACAGGACAAAAAGCACGTTGTCGTGCTTCCTGTATGCATCTTCGAACTCTTTGGTGATGCTCCGGGTGGCAGCCCATCTTGGGGCTTGCTGCTCAGGCGGCGGCTTGCTGCTGTTCGGGTTATATCCCAAACAGCTTAGGACCAAGCTTGAGTCGGCCGAGCACCTCAAGAGAAACAGGGCGCTGTTCTCTGCACTTGCAAGCTCACCTAGCGGGGATGGGCCTCGGAGCCGCGCCAGTGACTTGACATGGGTGCATGGCCTGCCGACCCTGATGACAACTTTCTCTGGCGGAGACTCGAGGAGCGCGTGCAACGCATCCGAGTCAGACGTGCTCATGTCCGAGTCGCCGACTGCGAGCAGCTGATCGTTTTCCATCACACGATCCATCTCGGAGAAGGAGCCATCCCGGTTTAGGAGGTTAGCAACCCAACGGTTGATGGAGAGGGAAGGGTCCTTGACACGACGCTTCAACCATGTCATCATTGCATCCTCTCGCAGGATCGAGGGTTGAGTTTCAACCTCAATCAAGCGTTGCCAGAGAGATAAGTCGGCCGCCATGCCAACAGAGGGAGATCAACTGATTCAGCTTCAAGACCTTCAGTGAACATGTGGGGCCAAGAGCCAAAGGGGCCATCAAGCTTTTAATTCAGCTTCTTAGGGTTTAGGGTTGAGGGTTGAGGGTCGAGGCTTGAGGGTTTAGGTTTAGGGTCGTGGGCTGAGATTGGCTGAGGGTGAGCTTCGGCCGCAGGAACTCAAACAATGTGCCTTGCGCGTGACGCGGATGCAGCAGCGGCAGCAGGTCAGCTTGGTGAAGATGAGCAGCAAGGTCCCCCTGTGAATGCTGCGGGATTCTTAATGGCAATGTCAAGGCAGATTTCAGTGGACAAAACGGCTCTCTGCGACCGATCTCACTACGGATACCTGCAACCATCAAGTCACGATTTATGGGCGAAACGCAGTGCACAGAATGCTTGACAAAGCAAGACCAGAGTATGCGATCATCAGATACAGCTCTTGTGTGCTGCAAAGCGAAAAGCCCATTCTGACACAAACCCCAATGTTCTCTTGCTGCCCAGCTCAAATGCGGACGTTAGCGACGCTATACCCTTAAACCTTACCAGAGAGATAGCCGGAGGGCCTAGATGGGTCCAAGAACCCTAAACCCTAAACCCTAAACCCCTAAACCCCTAAACCCGAAACCCTAAACCCTACCCTAAACCCTAAACCCTAAACCCCAAAGGGTCTTCCCCATCCTCACTGAAAAAGCCCTTGGAAGCGCGGTGTTTTCTGGGCCCGCGGCTCCAGCACTTCGAGCGTCATCTGCAGGGAGGTTGGGTTTAGGGTTTAGGGTTTAGGGTTTAGGGTTTAGGGTTTAGGGTTTAGGGTTTAGGGTTTAGGGTTTAGGGTTTAGGGTTTAGGGTTTAGGGCTTAGGGCTTAGGGCTTAGGGCTTAGGGCTTGGGGTTTTGGGTTTTGGGTTTAGGGGCTGCTGACTGGGCATCCTACAGCTGCGTAGGGAGAACAAGACCCTTGAGGGGCTTCGGAGCGAGTTGCGGCGTTAATCTTCGGACTGCCGGAGCTGGCTGCCGAGCCATTTTTCTAACTTCAGAGTCGTGCGCGGCCACTCGAGAATTCCTGCAGAGGTCTCACAAAGTGTTTCAAGGATGCAGACGAGAACTCCGAGAAACAAGCAGAACCAACATCCGGCAACCCGGAACCCAAATCCCTAAACCCCAAACCCTGAACCCTAAACCCCAGCACGCCTGTTTGACAGGCTCAAGCACCGTGACCAGCAGCAGTGCCATGATGAAGGGGAGCAAGATGTCAGCGAACTGCACCTGGCACAAAGGATGCCCCCAAGTCTGGGAGAAGTAAAGTTTAGGGCTTAGGGTTCAAGATTTGGGGGTTAGGGTTTAAGGGCTTTGGATTTAAGGGTTTAAGGGTTTAGGGTTTAGGGGTTTTGGGTATAGGATTGTTCCCCCCGCTTGTATTTGATGGCTTCGGGATTTCGGGTGACCAGGGAGGTGCGCTGGATGAACGGCTTGGCTCACGCACCAGCATCTTGACGCCGAAGTGGAAGACAATCACCGCCACTGCCATCTTGAAGCCATTGTAGCTGCCCTGCGTCATTGTGAAATCACACATCCTGTTATCAGTGGTGCTATTGGTACTATTGTCATATTATGAGAAGCCAGTCTAACTCTCCGAAGTGAGGGGTAACTTTGGCTTCCCTGCTTCTCGCAGTCTCCTGTGAAGCGTTGGGACTCTTCCTGTTCAGAGTTCAATCCATGAAGAAACAAGGCTTGAACGCTCTGAGGTGAAAAGCGACCTGTCGGTTTGCAGGTTTTTGGTTGATGGGATGTTACACTTCGGCCCACGGCTGTCGCCCCAGAACCCTAAGGCTCTAACCCTAAACCCTCAACCCTAAACCCTAAACCCTAAACCCTAAGCCCTAAACCCTAAACCCTAAACCCTAAACCCTACACCCTAAACCCCAACCCTAAACCCTAAAGCCCTTTCCCGCCTGAGGGAGGCCCCCGACGAGCTGCGGGTCGCTTCCACGCCGCCACTGGCCAGGGCTGCTTGGCTTAAGCGGCCAAACCCGAACACATCAACTCCTAAACCCTAAACCCTAAACCCCAAACCCTAATCCCTAAACCCTAAACCCTAATCCCTAAACCCTAAACCCTAAACCCTAAACCCTAAACCCTAAACCCTAAACCCTAAACCCTAAACCCTGAACCCTAGCACATGACCTCCTCAGCCCTCCACCAGTCCAGCTGCACTAGCCTTCTACGGGTTGAGTGCGAGGCTTGGGGATTGCCAGATTCTTGGGAATAAGCGTTTTGGTGTGAGGGGGGGAAAGGATGTGAACTCCTATCAGTGGCTGAAGAACGGCCTAAGTTCCGCTACACTTTGCTTTGAACTCGAGGCTTCCGCTTTCCACATACTTTTCTCCTCCAGCAGACGACGTTACCATACTGCCGACCACCTACTCCCATCAAAGATCTTTCATGCCATTTCCGAAGACACCTTCAGAACACACCCCCTAAACCCTCTAAACTCTCTAAACCCTAAACCCTAAACCCTAAACCCTAAACCCTCTAACCCTCTAACCCTCTAAACCCTCTAAACCCTAAACCTAAACCCACAAGACAATCGAGCAGGTGAACGCCTGCCGCTCAACCGATCCGGACCTTGCTCGCCTGGACGTGGACTCTCTGGGTTCAGGGTTCAGGGTTCAGGGTTTGTGGTTTCGGGTTTAGGGTTTAGGGTTTAGAGTTTAGGGTTAGGGTTTGGGGTTTAGGGTTTAAGGTTCAGAAACCCAAAGAATTCCTTAAACCTTGGCATCCCGGTATGCTGACGATGTCCCCCGCGAAAAGAGCTGGAGGCCTGGTAGGTTTAGTGGCTGACGGTTTTGCGGAGCTGGCAGTTGAAAGCCAAGTTTGCAAGGGGAAGATATCCGCAAGTCCAAACTCACGAAGCCCCAGTGCCTTCAGAGATCTTTCAACCAACATGCAGCCTCAACACCCCAATCCCCAAGCCTTTCATCTCCGGAATTCTCCCTGCACACCTCCCAAGCATGCGCAGCACCTGTCTGACGAACGGTCGCCAGAGCGCTGACGTAGATGTCCAGCCGACCTGCGTTGGGAACAGAGGGTTTCACGGCGACTCCCCATTTCTCGCTTCACGGTGCTGGGCCTGCAGGGCTTTAGGGTGCACCATATGCCTTTCACCTTCAACCCTAAACCCTAAACCCCAAAACGCCGGCCTCATCGGCGACTGGCAACACCGCCCATGCGCGGCGCGGCGAGCACTTTTGCAGGACAGTGCGAGTGCTCGAGGCTAAACCCAAGCCAACCCTCAGCACAAGGGCCTAGCTCGGAATGTTTTGAGCCTTAGATGCCTTAGTTTGGACTTTAAGCGCCTGTCCACTTTGAGTCGACCTGCTTGGAATTCTCGGGGGCGTGGGGCTGAAGATTGGAGTGCGGAATTGAGTGCGACCATTGCTGGGTATGCTCTTGTGCAAGGTGGTCGCCATATGCAGGACTGTGGCAAGAAACTTGGGAGTATCAAGAACGAAGCTGCAACATGATCAGTCGCAGCTGCAGGGTGCTGCAACACAGAACTGTCACGCCACTAGCTGTGCGATTATGACTTTGTACGACTCATTCTGGTGAGGGCAAGCTTGTCATGTACGTGTCCGCCACTGTTCGATTGAAGCGCGCAAGGCTTGAGCAAAAGCAACAGGTTCGTCACGGCCTGCAACTCAGCATAACTCAGCACACAATACCAACATCGTAACCAAATGCAGTGAGGAATTTGCGCCCGGCGAGGCAGATGACGCAACTGCAGCATATAACGTGGATCCACCGTGAGTGAGTGAGTGAGCGACGAGGGACCCTGGAAGGAGACACTTTCCAACTCGGGTCTCGCGGATCAAGACAGTCCAAAGTACAAGGGGGCATCAAAAGAACGCCACCTTTTGGAACCAAGGTCAGAAATCTAGCAATGGGGCCATGCATGCAGGCTCGGCAAACAGTAGAACACCGTCATAAGCTCGACTCTTGGCTGATGTTGGCTGAAAGGCCCCATAACTTGGGAAGCAGGCCAGCGAAAGAGCTGGCGTTATGCATCTGCAAAAGTTCCAAATCCAGGTGCGCATACTGCGCAGCAAGGACCCAGTTTGCGTAGTACTCATATGCTGAGTTCGACAGGACAATTGCGGTCATGGACCTGCTGTGCACGAGTACAGCCTCTCGAGGGATTAAGGGCTGCCGTTCTTAAACAGCGTGGTGGATTCTCTTGAATGCCACGGTGATGCCACGGGAATGCAAGACATCTTCCGGCATGTCTCTAATCGGTGAGGAGCTATACCTTAGTAGCCCAAAAAAATATTAGAATCAGAATCTCGGTAGCTTATCTGAGAAGGAAATTTCAACACCCAACAAGGAGGAGGAAAGGGCACCAAGAAGGGCTACCAAGATACCGAGGCAGTACCACCTCCATCGTGGAGAACTCACCCGGCAGGACTGGGCTCAGCCCTCGCATGGATGTCGACCTTCGTGGCAATCCGCAGGAGTGGGCCAAACCGGTCTTTGATCAATACCCGGCCGATCCACTGCTCGCCCATCAAGCCCACGAAGGGCTCCGCCAAGATCTCCATGTCAGGGCTTCGGATCAAGCTTGTGAACGCCTTCGGCGGCAGGGAGAACTCGTACTTCTGCCCCTTGTAGTATGCCACGGGGTCGCCTCTCATCACAGGGATCGCATTGAGCACGAAAGAGGACAAGGAAAATGGGTTGAAACCCCTAAACCATCCTAAACCCTAAACCCGAAACCCTTAACCAGGCTCCTGCTTGGACAGCTCTTGTGCGTTCGGCTGCTTGAACAATACTGTGGCGCTGAAGCTAGATCTTCTACTGATAGCAGTAGGTCTCGTTGACGGTTGCCAGGAATGGTGGCGGGGTTCTTGAAACCTGTTGTATTTTGTACGGAAGTGTGGGGTTGGGAAAACCGTTTTTGAAGCAATGCCTGTATCTTCGCCTGGGTGCTAGAT